TACTGACCCCACGTGCCACAAATACTAAAGCCCACGGGCCTACAGCCCCAGCCCCACAGCTAGAGGAAGGCTGAGTGCAGCAACGAAGACCCGGTGCAAGCAAAAGTGAATCAATAAATCTCTTTAAAACTGAGAGTGGCTTCACCTGGTGACATGAATTTGTCTTTGATAGGGGTGCGGGGTGGGGGGTAGCGCTTCTAATGAGAAACAGTCCCAGTAACGTGACAAAGGCCATGTTTCTAACTTAACACAGCGGTTCAGATTGGCTTTCAAACTCCTTGGCCTGGCAGGCTGCAGTCCGTGGAGTCACAAAGTGTCAGTCATGAGTTATCAACTAAACAGCACCTGCAGCATGAGAAAAGGGGAGAGGAAGAAACGGTTCTGACGTTCAAAGAACGTGCAGTTGCTCGGGAAATGGTGACTATTAACAATATAAAGCAAGACCCAGACAGTCTTTGGTAGGTGGTCAGCACTCCAGGGCCATATCCGAAGGTGAAGGCAGGGTCCCCACTAGGGCAGCCACGGGAATAAGCATGCTGGGAGCTCTTCGCATGGAGAGGCACTAGGTCGGTCTTTTTTTGCCACTCACTCCTGGAATCATTTCACAGGCCCCTGTGTTTGGAGCTGTGACTTGACCTGCCAGCCCACCAAGGCCTGCCCTGCCTGCCCAGCAGTGCCAGAGCGTGGGAGGTGGGGCAGGGGAGGAAAGTGCGTATGTGGAGAGAAGGAGGCACTGGTGAGTGTCAAGGAGACCAAGAGAGAATTTGCAGGCTGGATAGATTTTTGTGGATTATTGATTCTGGAAGCCTGTTTGCAGATTTCATTTGATGGCCGGTCCAGGAGGCCTGTCCGAAGCGCAGAGCCTGAAAGAATGAAGCAGAACACTTGTTAATTCCTTCTGTGGCTCTGGGGCCATCGGGCCGTGCCAGCCCCTGATTCATCGACCACAGGGCTCTCTCCACATCTCTGCTCCTTGAGGCCTCCGGAGGCAGCCGATTCCCTGCCCGTGTTACAGGAACAGGAGTGTGTGAACAGACCAGGCTGAGGCCCAGCCTGGGCCCGTTATATGTATGATAAGTCTTAATGCTATGTGTTATCTGCATTTTTCTTGTCTGCATAAAAATGTACTTCTTTATATCAAGAGGTGGATAGGACAGTGAGCCTGATCACTCTTAGGAACATTTTTGTTGTTCAGTCGCTCAGTCGTGTCCGATTCTTTGTCACCCCATGGACTGCAGCACTCCAGGCTTCCCTGTCCTTCACTCTTTCCCGGAGTTTGCTCAAACTCTTGTCCATTGAGTCAGTGATGCCATCCAACCCTCTCATCCTCTGTCGTCCCCTTCTCCTCCCACCTTCAATCTTTCCCAGCATCAGGGTCTTTTCAAATGAGTCAGTTCTTCGCATCAGGTGGCCAAAGCTTTGGAGTTTCAGCTTTAGTATCAGTCCTTCCAATGAATATTCAGGGTTGATTTCCTTTAGGATTGACTGGTTTGATCTCCTTGCTTTCCACCCCTCCAAAATAGGTGTCAGTCTTGGCACGACGCCATCAGCTCCCAATCAGAAAATCTAGACCCAGATTCCTATGATCTCCTGTATGTATGAGGCAGATTCAAATGACAAGCAGCCAGAGTCCCTAGATCCATTCCAGGTTTTACCTACAGACATAATATCAGTTATAACATCTGACTTGCCATCATTAAAGAATTGTTTTTTTTAAGTTAACCAGACGAACACTGCCACCTACTAGCTACTTGATCTTGAGCAATGAAACCTCTCCATGGCTTGTTGTCACCATCTGGGAATGTCCCCTACTTCATAGGACTGCTGAAAATCTTATGTAACTGACTCTAAGGTAATGCTTATTGAACCATAAGTGAACTAAGGAAAAATGTCATTTAACGCATGACACAATGCTTTCTCATTGCTTACAACAAGGGTGGGCAAACTCTCAACCTGCCATCTATGTCTGTAAAGTTCATGAACTAAGAATGGCTTTGATATTTGTAAATAGTTCCCCAAAACACAATAAAACACAATAAATGTGTCATTTTTCATGACACTGGGAAATTTTTTGAAATTCAGTTTTCAGTGTCCGCAAATAATTATAGGATATTGACACATATAGGAACACAGTTTGCCCATTTGTTCACATGTTGTCTGTAATGGCTTTTGTGCTACAACAATTGAATTGTAATAGAGAATAGCCCACAAAGCATAAAATATTTACTATCTGGTCCTTTGTAGGAAAACGTTGCCAATTCTTGACTTAGAATGTTTATTTTATACTTATTGAGAGACTTTTTTTAGACTTACTTGAAAGAAGAATTTTTAAAATCAAATACCAGTCTATTGCATTCTTGACAAAATGAGAAATTTAAGTAAGAATTGAACAGGCCAAAAAATTCCTAAATCTTCTCATTCAGAGTCTTATTCTTCTCAATTATCTTCTAGTCAGGAGTTGTCCATCTATGTTTTTCCACACTGCATTATTCTCTGTGCCTGCTGGAGACACAGTATTTCTCAAAGTCCTCATCCTGGTAAAAGGCAGCTTTTCCTAAAAGACTGCTCCTTGTTATCTCAGGGATTTCTGTCTAAGCCGCTGACCCTGCAAGGGTTGATATTCACATACCTTCAGTTGGCTCCGTGATTGACAGGTGAGGTCAAATCATGACAATTTTTTTCATGTTAAACCGTGCTTATGTTGAGGGAATGTGCACATTTGAATCCATGCAATACGAGGTTTGCCACATTTCCAGGCCTGGAGGAATCTTCAGTACACGAGAGGTTCCCTTACCCTATGTCATCCCTTGTCCCTGTCCACGAAGAAAAGTCAAACAGAGTCCTTGGTTGCATGACTTTCCTGGTGATCCAGTGGTTAAGAATCTGCCTGCCAATGCAGCAGACAAGGGTTCGATCCCTGGTTGGGGAACTAAGATCCCATATGCTGTGGGGCCACTGAGCCCACACGCCACAATTACTGAGCCTATTACTCCGGAGCACCACAGCTGGAGAAAAGCCGGCATACCACAACGAAGACCCAAGGCAACCAAATAAATTAATTAATTAAATATTTTTAAAAAGGACTTTGCAAGCAACAGAACCCAGCTCCAACTGATTCAAGGGATTAACTGGAAGGATGGAGTTGCTCACAGGACTGAAGCAAAGACCGAAAGTTCATATCTTGGGACAGACTGGAAGCAGGACCACTCTGGGGACTTAAATTAGAAGAACAAGTGCATCTTCACTTCATGATCTCACTTGGGCCCATTTGTTCAGGCCTGATTCAGGTCAGTGAGAGGGAAGCAGCCTTGAAGAGGGACCTAGACTTGGGACTGTGAGTGGGAAGGAAAGAAGGATGACACGTTTGGATGAATGGTCTTCTGAAGTTCCTTGACCTCCCACTGAGGGTGCCTGGTGAGGAAGTCCTAGAGGGCTTACAAAGGCATTTCTGATTGCCCTTGCACAGTGGATTCAAATGATGACCACAGGCAGGCTGGCTGCCTTCCATGTCTGTTTAAAGCAGGGTAGGAAATAACATGGACTAAATAACTTGGCTACAGAAGTGATCAGCTGTCATCAAAAATGACCACGGGCATCCTGCGTTACAGGGCTCCATGCAGGGCCCTCCAGGGAGCAAAGAAACTCTCCTTCTGGAAGCAGCTCGTACCTAGGCAAGATAGCAAGGTGTTCCTCTGGACTTGGTTTGGAGTTCCTTCTCTGTGAAGCTGTCCCTGACTCCCAGCTGGATCAGGGGGGCCTCTGCTCTGAAGGGACTTTGTATTGCCCCACTTTTCATATTGGGCCATTTCTGCTGGTTGACCTGGCTCCCTCATTGTATTAGTCAGGCTTCTCTAGAGAACCAATAAGATGTGTATTTGTGTGTGTGTGTGTTTAGAGAGATTTACTTTAAGAAACTGGCTCACAAAATAATGGAAACTTGCAAGTCTAAAATTTGTACGGTGGGCCCTCAGGCTGGAGACCTAGGATGAGCTAACATTGTGGTTCACATCTGAAAGTTGTCTGCTGGCAGAATCCCTCTTGGACTGAGGAAGTAATCTTTGTTCTCTTTAGGTCTTCAACTAATTGGAGGAAACTGCATTGTGGAGGGCAATCTGCTTTACCCAAAAAATGAAGTGAAAGTCTGTCAGTCATGTCCAACTCTTTGTGACCCCATGGACAGTAGCCTGAGAGTCTCCTCTGTCCATGGGATTCTCCAGGCAAAAATACTGGAGTGGGTAGCCATTCCCTTCTCCAGGGAATCTTCCCAACTGAGAGACTGAACCTGGGGCTCCTGCACTTCTGGCAGATTCTTTACCATCTGAGCCACCAGGGAAGCCCACTTTACACATTGTTCACCAATTAAATGTAAAGCTCATTTAAAAAAAACTCTCAGAAACCTCTAGAATAATGTTGGACCACATATCTAGGCACTGTGACCCAACCAAGTTAACATTAAATTAACCATCACTCTATAATCATGTGGTGGGCACTTCTCTGAAAGGAGGAACCAGGAAAATTTTTCCCTTCACTGCTCTGGTAATTATGAGCCAGCTACGTGTTTGCTAAAATCAATGAATGAGAAGAAGTATGTGCTATGTGGCAGACCAAGAGTTCAGACAACTGTGTCTGGGTCAAAACAGGGAGCAGTTCCTGGGGGAGGAACTTGGAGAAATCTTCACATGGGGGGAGGGCTGGATCTGGACTTCGAAGGAGCCTTGGAGGGGCAGAAAGCATCCATCCTGGCTGGAATGGATGGATGGACGTACTCAACAGCTACATATCAGGTGCCTGCTGGGTGTGGGGTCGTGCAGGCAGGACCCTTGCGGAGGCTCTCAGGCAGAGGGGTGAGAGAGACAGGAACAGTGGGGGGCAGTTTCTGGAAGGCCTTCACGTAGGCTGGGACTAGTCCCTAGGTTTTATAAACAGAATCCTATCCAAGGCTCTTGAAGGTCTGTTTGGTTACTCCGGCCCCAGCTTTTCACAAGCTGGGGGTGGCCAGTTTACAGAGAGGACCTCCAGGAGCTGGTGGTCTCAGCCCTCTGGATGGTTCCTGCCCTGGGATGGGACTTCCAGGCCTGGACGAGGTGAACACGGATGCCCACTCCCACCGAAACCTCGGAGAAAGCAAAGGCAAAGGACCAGCTCCCAACATGAAGGGCTCCCTGGGCAGGAAGGTGCTGTGCTGGGCGGCCCGGCAGGCAGCCAGCCTGCCTGCTGCTCTGAAGCAGCCGGGAATTTCCATGGGGAGAGCCAAGAGTGGGAGCAGCCCTCCGAGCGTCTCCTCCAACGGTTCCGGCAGCCAGGGTGCGAGGTGCCAGGGCAACACTGACGGCGTGACCCAGAGGAGTCTCGGCATCAACACTTGGCCCAGGTGGGGGTCCTGGCCACAGGTCAGCAACAACACCGGTGGATGCGATATAGCAGGAAGGCCGTGCTGAGTTCCGGAGCAGAGAGGGGAAGCCCACATCCGCTGGGCCTGCGGCTCGTGCAGGCGGAGAGATGGGGGCTCCAGCTCCTTTCTCTGAGAACAGCACCATCTTTGTGGCCCTTCCAGAGTCCTGCTGTTCATCAGGGGACAGAGGGGTCAAGGAGCGCAGGTACGGATCCCTGGCTCTCCAGGGAAAAAGCTCATTTTCAAGGGAAATGTAGTTTTTTGGTACAAAATGCTATACCTGCTGGTCCAATTCAAACGAGGAGTGACTTTTTTCAGCAACGGGTAACATTAAAACTCTCCTCCTTGGATGCCCTTACTCTGAAGGCCGTGCTAGCTGAGGTCCTTCTGTGTAAGGTGGAGGCAATCCAAACTCATGGGACACACGGCACCCACGTGTGCAGCATCTTGGCCCTGGGGAGTCCCACAGAGCCAAGTTCGGCAGAGGAATGGTGGGAGGCTTTATAATCCACACTAGCTAGAAAGTCACAGAACTCTTCACCTTGACCTCGAAATATCACCCCAGCCAATACTGACTACATCCTTCCTCTGTGCAAGGCATTGCACCATTTTGTTCTCAAAGTTTTGATTTTGAAATGATTTCAAGTTTGCAATTGAAAGTTACAAGGATACAGAGGACTTCCACATACCCTTTACCCCTAATCATTCGTTTTTAACATTTTGGAAGTCTTTTGTTATCAGCATCTTTTTGTTTTCTCTGAATAATTTGAGAAAGGTCGCAGGCATCAGTTCCTCTATCCTTTATACTTCCCCTTATATTTTCTAAGAACGAGGATAGTCTCTTAGGCACCACAGCATAGTTCCCAAATTCAGGAATTTAACATTGATAGAATGCTATTATCTAATCTACACTCCATATTCCAATTTTGTCCATTGTTCCAATTATATCTTTTATAGCGCTTTTTCCTCTAGTTCAGAATCCAGTCCAAAATCATGTGCTACCTTTAGTTGTCATGTGTGCTTAGGAACTTATGATTCAACCACAAACAGTGTGTGGGGTCCTGTCCCTAACATTCACAGGACCTGGTCAAGACACTAGAAAGTGAAAGTCGCTCAGTTGTGTCCGACTCTTTGCCACCCCATGGGCTATATATAGTCTATGGAATTCTCCAGGACAGAATACTGTAGTGGGTAGCCTTTCTCTCCTCCAGGGGATCTTCTCAACTCAGGGATCAAACCCAGGTCTCCCACATTGCAGGCAGATTCTTTACCAGTTGAGCCACAAAGGGAGACTCACAATCTATAGGCCTAAACATTTAAAGGGTGTTCGTTTTTTAAAAATGTTTTTGATTGAGCCTCATGGCACACAGGATCTTAGTTCCCTGACCAGGGATCAAACTCATGGTCCCCGCAGTGAAAGCATGGAGTCTCAACCACTGGACCACCAGGGAAGTCCCTAAAGGTTATTCTTGTAAAACACTGTTAGTTAAAATATATTCTCTCCTCCTTCCTTGACAAATATACTTCCGGAGCAACCTGGAGGTCTGTGTTTCAGTGCAGAATTCTTGGACACCTTAGGGCTCTGTGCTGGAATTGATGACCTGGGAAGAGCAGACTCGTATCTCTGCCCTATAGCCTGTCTCTGCCCAGTAGCCTGTCTCCTTCTCAGCCATTCCAACCCTGTCCCACACTATTAGCAGCCTTGTGGGCACATGAGTGTGGTCAGCCCAGCCTGCCTGTACAAGTTCCATCCATACCCCACAAATGCCCTTGGACCATGACTTTAGCTCAGGGCTGCACTGACACCACCCCCTCTCGGGAGGGTCCACACAGGGAAGAGGCCTCCTCGGGTCCATCTGGGCCTGGCTACCTGGGCATGACCTAAAAGGCGGGGGAGGCATGGGCTCTGAATGGGCTTGTCCCCAGACTCCTCCCCCTGTGGAGGGGGGCACAGGTCAAAGAGCATCAGAGCAGGCCCTAGAATAGGGTCCCCAGGACAGGGCTCCCCCTCGTCTGGGTCTAAGGCTTGTACTGAAAAATAATAGAATCTGTGTTCCCGAGCTTTGAGTCTAACAAAGAAGATACACAGACGATTGTAACCCTATGAGGTCGATGCGCAGGCAGAGGTGAGCCCACACTGTTACCGCTCACGCAGGGCTCTCTTTTCCCTTTGCCCCAGCAGTCTTTGCTTAGTGCTCTCAAATGGAAGCAGCTTTGTCATTTGAGCTTGAAGACTTGTGTATGTATCATGCCAGCCTCGATGGCAATGTCTTGGTGGCAAGAATCGTGCTTTTTTTCCCTTTGCATTTCTTAGCACTTGTTACAATGACCATCACAGAGTAGGTCCTTAGAAAATGAGGACTGGATGAATGAACGTGTGCACAGCTGATCTACTGGAAGGATAGATAAATGGATGGTGGATGGGTGGGTGGGTGGATGGGTGGACCGATTGGTTTACAGAGAGGTGGATGACTGCAAAAGAGGATGGGTGAGTGGATGGCTAGATGGACAATGAGTGGATGGAGAGGTTCATTATTGGATGGCCATATGTATTTATGGATAGATGGATATGTGGATAGATGGATGGATGGACAGATGGATGTTTGGATGGGTGGATGATGGATGAACGGACAGTCTCTGATCTTTCTTAAATGGCAGATCAAGGGAAGGACAGCGACAAGTATTGTCAGTCCTAGGAGTCCTGAGGTGGTTATGGACTGGCCAAAGTCATCAGAGGATGTCTGCAGCAGAGGTGGAAGGAGAACCTAGCAGTCCTGACTCCTGGAAGCATCACTTTTGGCCTGAGATGGAGCAGCTCCCAACCTGCACGCACTGGAAAGCCTGGCACTCCCCTCTGGACTTGTACAGAACCTCCTGCCAGTTACTGGCTGGTAACCGTAACAAGCCTATTCTTTTCATTCAGCCCAAGCACCCTCCTCCTCTGCGATCTTTTCTGATCACCCCATACTCTCCTGTACACCCACAGTGGCATTGAGGTCTGTTATCTTGCTCTCCTGAACTTCCACTTAACACACACAACCTTTTCACCTTTATTCTCTCCGTCTACCTGCACCCTATGTTTTATTTCCTCAATTAAACAGGGGCTGTGTTGTCTGTTCCTGCGGCGCCTCCCAGGAACCGATCACGTGCCCTAGGCAGAGTGACCCCTCAATAAATCTTTGATGATTGAGCTGCGGAATCAGTCACGCTGAAGCCCTTTATAATGCCATGAAATTGGGTCATCTACAGTTAATCTCTCCAAGTTTTCATGCGAAACCTCTTGCTACATGCCTAAGAGTTACAACACTTGAAAAAAAAATTCTTTCTCATTAGCCATCCCTGCCGTCTCAGCTTTCAGCAAAAACTTAGGGCGTAAAAGCCAATTTACCACATGCTCCCAAACGATTCACAGATTCGAAAGAGCAACAAAGGCTGGGAACTGGCCACATGCAAGGGAGGGGAAAAAAGACGGCAAAGAAGATTAATTGCCTTTGGAAATAAAAGATAATCGCTGAGAACACAATGATAGTACGTGCCAGTGGGCCAGCATTTGCAGAAATACCATGTTAGTGAGAGCTGAGCAGAAGCCCCCACTGTGACATCAAAGGGTTGAGTCATGTGGCTGGTGACTGGGATGGTGGGGGAAAGCCTAATAATAGTCCTGTTCTTGCTAGCTCTGCACATTTTGGCATCAAAATGTCCCCACCACGGGTTGCCCCTGGGGAGGGTGGCAAACAGCCAGGTATCTCTCACCTGGAGATTCGCTCAGTTGATGGGGTTTCTTGAGGGTTGGGGAGGGCCTTTGGGCCTGGCAGGGAGGGGTGGCCAGCAGCTTAGTATTTGACTCTGAAAGAGAGCAAGAGAAATGGAAGGAGAGAAAGGGAGAGAGGACACACTCCAAACCCTCCGGATTTCTCCCAGATCTCCGGGCCAGGGGCCCTGGCCCTCCCTTGCCTCCCCTCCTGCGGGGCCTGGCAGCCAGCTCCCCAAAGAACAGCCAGGACAGGAAACGCAGCAGGTCCGCAGCTGGGTGCTGGAAAGCTGGCCCACAGGAGCCTGAGGACGGGAGGAAATCTGTTTTGGATGTGGGACCCAGATGGGGTAGGGGTGGGAGGGGGTGGAGTGGAGAGTGAAGCCAGATAAGATGCTGTGATTTAACTAGAAAGGGAGTGAGGGGCTGTTTGGGGCTGAGAGCGTTAGATCTCTCTCATCGTGGCCGCAGAAGGCACCTTGCCTTCTGCCGGGATGGTGCGCATGCGCTCTGCAGACCAGCTCTGCATGGGAACATCAGGATTCAATCGGCCTCTGGTCTCTAACTGCCCCATGGCAGTCGCTAGCTGCACGTGGCTACTGAGCCCTTGAAATGTGGCTCACTCTAACAGAGATGAACTATAAGTAATTGCAAAATATACACCAGATCTTGAAGAACTAGTATAAAAAAATAATGTACAATGTTGGTGTTGTTGTTCAGTCGCCCAGTTGTATCCAACTCTTTGTGACCCCACAGGCTGCAGCATACCAGGCTTCCCTGTCCCTGACCATCGCCCGAAGTTTGCCCAAGTTCACATCCATTGCATTGGTGATGCCATTCAGCCATCTCATCCTCTGACGCTCTCTTCTCCTTCTGCCCTCAATCTTTCCCAGCATCATGGTCTTTTCCAAAGAGCTGGCTGTTAAGATGGCCAAAATACTGGAACTTCAGCTTCAGCATCAGTCCTTCCAATGAATATTCAGGGTTGATTTCCTTTAAGATTGACTGGTTTGATTTCCTTGCTCTCCAAGGGACTCTCAGAAGTCTTCTCCAGCAGTACAGTTCAAAGGCATAGTTCTTTGGCACTTTGCCTTCTTTATGGTCCAGCTCTCACAACCGTACCTGACCACTGGGAAGACCATAGACTTGACTATATGGACCTTTGCCAGCAGAGTGATGTCTCTACTCTTTAACATGCCATCTAGGCTTGTCATCCTTTTCCTGCCAAGAAGCAATTATCTTCTGATTTCATGGCTGCAGCTACCATCTACAGCAATAGTAGTTTTTGTATTGATTATATATTGAAATGATACTTTTGCATGTGTGTGTCCATGCTAAGTCGCTTCAGTCATGTCCAACAGTTTGTGACCCCATGGACTGTAGCCCACCAGGTTCCTCTATCTGAGGGATTCTCCAGGCAAAGAATACTGGAATGGGTTTCCATGCCCTCCTCCGGGGATCTTCCCAACCCGGGGATTGAACCCAAGTCTCTTATGTCTCCTGCATTGGCAGATGGGTTCTTTACCACTAGTACCACCTGGGAAGCCTGATACTTTTACATACATGGATTAGATAAAAGATACATTAATTTCACTGTTTCTTTTGACTTTGTTACATGTAGTGACAAAAAATTGGAAATTTACATATATTTCCTTTGAGCAGTGCTGGTCTACAGCCTGTTCACCACCTCTGCCCCCAAGTGCTGATGAGTCTGTTGAATGCAATGAATACCTGAGGTGCAGGAGACCACTGAAGATAAAAACGATGCTCTCAGAATGTGACTGCATTTAGAATCACCTGTTGAGTCCTTAAAAATCCTACCTCTTGGTGTTATGCTGAACAAAATTAGAGAAGAACTAGCGTAGGCTATCAGTTACATTCAGAGTCTAAAAAAGTACAAAAGACTAGTGAATATAAACTAGTGGGGAAAGAGAGGTGGAGAGGGGCATACAGAGGTAAGGGCATAAGAGGTGCAAACTACTATGAAATAAATGACAAGGATAGATTGTATAACAGCCAATGTTTTATAATAACTATAAATGGAGTATAACCTTTAAAGAGGGTAAATCACTGTCTTGTACACCTATAACATAATGTTGTACATCAACGATACTTCAATGAAAAAAATTAAGTTTTTAAAAAAAAAAACAAACCCTCTTGGCTGCAGTCAGACCAACTATTTCAGAATCTGTAAGACTGATACCCCAGGCATCAGGGTTCTTTTAAAGCCCCTTAGAGGGTTCCAACATGCAGTCCGATTGAGAACCAGGGGCTTACTATATGGCCACTGCCCTGTGGGAGCTCAACATCAAGGGGGACAGAGGGTCTGAAACGCTATTGTGGAAATCTGCCTGAGATCATTAGTCGAGGCAGGAGCTTCCAGGGCCGTGGAAGAAAGGGGAAGACCAGCAGAAGGTGTCGTGGGGGCCGGGAGCGACTCAGAGATGGCCTTGGCTTGGGAGTTCGAGGTTTGAAGGGAACGGAGGGTATGGGTGGGTGTCTAGGCAGATAAGATGTCTCGGCCAAGTCACAGGACAGGAGAGGCCCCGAGAAGAGCGGGAACACCTGGATGGGCAGAGAACTTCCAGCCGTCTGGAGCTCCGGGAGGAGGGGAGGATGAAAGCTGGAGAGGCTGGAGGACCGGATCCCGTAGGCCCTGGAGACCCAAGGTTCAGGAGGGGGGCGCCCAGGAGAGGCTCTGAGTGAGGGAGTCGTGGGCTCAAACCCTGATTGCACAGGCGACAGATTTGGTAACAGATTTGGATGGGAAGGGAAGAGGGCTGGGGGGCCATGCCCAGCCTCTGCTCCCCCGCTGCCCCAGCCTGGCTGCCCCACTAGACAGTCACTGCTCATGGGGGGCCCTGCCCAGGCCGGATGGTAGACAGGGGAGGAGTCTTTGGGCCTAGAAAAGAAAACAACAGTTTCAAAGGCACTTACTGAATCATCTAACTTCGGAGAAAACAAAACCGAAATTTAGGTCCTGCCCTGATGCTCCAGGCCGGTTGTATCTATCTGGGACTTATCACCCCCTACCCAACTGCAAATGCCATCTCAACTAAAGAATACCCAAAACTTCCCACCTGACTAACGTTTCCCGTATCGCTTCCAGAAACCTCCCTTTAAATATGAAGCCTCGCTGATCCGTCTCGTGCTCAGCATGGTCATTAGGCCGACTGTCGCCCCTCCTTGCCTGAATAAAAGTAACCTATACTTCCGTTGAGGTCGTCTCTCCTTCTTTTCTGCCTCGGCCTGAACTATACCTTACAGACAGGCCCACGGCCAGTATTTGCCTAATGAACCAAATGGTCAGTGTTTCTGAGCCTGCTAGCCGTCTGCTCCCACCTGGCCACCAGAAGGAGCCAGGGAGATAAAGGCTTCCCTTCAGTTTGCTGAATTCTCCATCTTCTCCCTCCAGGAAGCAGGCCTTGAAGGCACTGGGGTTGCCACAGGGTAATCTGCAGGGGCCAGCAAAGGGTCCAGGCAGTTCCAAAGAGCCAGCCTTACAACAGCCTTCTTGCCCTTCCATGCTGTGGTCCCCAGCTCACTGTACTCGGCCCGGCTGGAGAACTTCTATTTCCATTTTCCAAGGCTTCACCGCTGGTCCCTGCAGGTGACAGCAGGCCTGGGCGCGCTCACCCCACCTCTCTCTCTCTCAAATTCTTGTTACTAACATGTAACAGTAGCTCATCCTGCCACAAAATAGCCCTCTAGAGTCTTCTGTGCTTGAATTTTAGGTAGTTAAGGCTGCTGAAGGCACCTCTCTGCTTTGAGTAGTGGAAAAATTTGGAATTGCTGCACATGAGTCTCCACTTTGGGATAAGTAAGGACCATTACAAATAGACAGTGGGCTCCTTGGGCTGCCTCAGTGTCCCTCAGCCTGGTGGCTCTGGGCTGGCCCGAGGAAGCAAATGCCAAATACCGGAGTCAACATGCTCTTTAATGAAAGCTTGTAGCTGTAACTCATGGCCTGGGTTCAAAGAAACATCTATTAATTGTGGATCTGCTAAAGCAACCACTCCGCCTTGCAACAGGCTTTCTGCCAAGTAGACGTTTATCATTTCTTGAATGGCAGAGTTCCTCCAAGAACACCTGGTTTTCTTTCAGAATGAGACTCAGCCTTTCCCTCCAAAGCTGGCCCTTCTGCCAAGCTGTCATCTCCTTCCCTGGGCCTCCAGGGGCTGAGCAGATACCAGCCCAGGGAATTAAGTCCTGGGGGATGCTCATAGGATGTGACTTAAAGTGTTGCGTCTTTGCTGATGATGCTAAAACTGCCTGCCTCTCTTGCTCTCCACTAGCCAGGCTTCTGGCTTTTTTTCCTCTCTTCTCTGTCCTTTCAATGCAATGAGTGTCGTAAGCAACATAGCAGGCTTCAGGGAAGAACTGAACTTGAACCCACTAAATCGTGGGAAAGAGGAAAGGCATCAGTGGGGAAGCTTGGGATGGTCAGTTACAACAGGGGCAGGGGTGATCTGCAATTCCATATGTCCATGGTCTACAGAAACCTAGAGGTGGAAGGAGCCAGGCATGCTCTACCAGGGCCAAGACAGATAAATAACCAATGGACTGTCAGGTCCCACTTGCCCCAGGGAAAGAACTTAAGTCAGATGGAATATAGTTAATTTAGTGAATTTCCCTTGAAGAGATTTGCATATGTAGCTGATAAATGAGGAGTCAGCTTGGAGAGCTGTAAGTGGTTAACTGAATTCACGCAACAAATAGCACCCCCCTCCCCCGCCATCCAAAGTCACACATATGTGCAAACTGACAGGATGCAAAACTGTTCCTTTAGTTTCAGTTCCCTCACATGTCTTGTTTCCTGCTCCATCAATTCAGAGGTTTCTGAGAGCATCAGCTATGTTCCCTGCTACAGGATACAGTGTCTGGCAGACAGCGGGTGCTTAGTCGCTCAGTCGAGTCTGACTCTTTGCAACCCCCCAGGCTCCTTTGTCCACGGGGTTTCTCCAGACAAAAATACCAGGGTGGGTTGCTATGTGGTTCTCCAGGGGTTCTTCCTGACCTAGGGATCGAACCCAGTCTCCCATATTGCAGGTGGATTCTTTACAAATTGAGCCACCAGGGAAGGCCCTGACAGACAGTAGCTGCTCAATTAACATTTTTGAATGAATGAGAGAGGAGCGCTGTTATTCTCAAGGGACTCCCAGACCTGTGAGGAGGGGCGTATAAATAAACCACAGCAATGCAGCCTGGGAAGGTCGGGAGTGAGGATGTGAGAGCGGCAGCCTCTGAGGGAAGCTGTGTGCGCCTGGCTCTCCAGGTCTGCATTGTCAGACTGGGCTCCTGTCCCTTTCTCACTGGGATCTGCTCATTCCCTGAGCAATGTGGAAGGCTGCCTGGAGGAGGAGGTAGCTTGCTTCTGGGACCTAAGGCATAGATAACAAGGGAACGTCGGAGACAAGAGGAAGGATGTCTGGGGGAGGGAAGGGTGTGAGCCAAGACACAGAGGTGAGAGAGAAAGGGTCCAGGAGGGGAGCTGGTGAAGGTTTCAACATGGTTCCAGCACTGGGTAGTGAGATAGAAGGTCCAGGCAAACCAGGATGGTCCCGGCCCTCCTGTAGTGGAGACAGCAACCTGGGTACTTCCGGGGCCAGCTCGACCTGAATTCGGATTCCACTCTTTGCCGAAGAACTGCCTTCTGCCACGTGTCTGAGCCTGACAACTTGCTCAGTTTCTTAGCTCTCCCCATGCGTCCTGGGGCTGACAGGGTAGGGAGGTGGGGAGGGAACCTGGCCTTATTCACTGTAAAAGTCCTGAAGGTGCATATTTGGGAGAAGAGAGGGAATATTCTATGGGAATAGTCTCTATTGAGTTTATGACCCTCCACCCTTCTCCCATCTCTCTCTCTCTCTCTCTACACACACACACACACACACACACACACACACACACACACACTTTTGATGACTTTGCACACAGAAGGTGACTTTTACTGGCCGCCATGCAGACCGACTGCCCACTCTTGCCAGCTTTCTTGGAGCTGAGCCCACAGCTGTAACTTACGGCAGGAATTGTGGGAAGTTAAGACAGACACGTAACGCAGCTGGGGGGCGGCAGTGGGGCACCGCTCCCAAGCAGGGTAGGACAGACTCCCCGTCCCAGCTCAGGGGTGGGCTGCAGGCAGGTGGGTAACATCAGGAGGGAGTCAGAAGACAGCCCCCAGCCATCTCCCTACGGACCCCAGCCTGAGGGGAGCTCCAGACAAGACGCACGTCTGAAAAGGAGAGCATGATGCCAGACACAGCTCTGAACTAGAGGCGCACAGTGAGGCCACCTGTGCTCAGGCTCCGGGCTTGTCCCATCATGCTGGGAGCCCAGAGCAGAAGCAGCCCCCTGGGCCATGCCCCCGAACTGGGCTGAGCAGAGACTTAAGTCTTTGTGCAGTTGGGTGGGGTCGGAACGTTTCCCGGGATGCGGCCAAAGGCACAGGCAGGTGTAGAGGGCTCCCTCCTCCCCCATCCTTCCCGCTCTTCAAATGCAGTGAGTCAGGCTCCTCCAGGGAGGGGCCAGGGGAGCTTCTCTTCCCAGACCCGCTGCTCCGAGCAGCTAGGAGCTGCTACGCGGTTTTGGAAGGACATCAGGGCGCCGGAGGGGCGGAAGGGGAAAACAACCCCCCTTCGTGGGTACTGCTTTGACTTTTATAGAACAGCCCAGCTGCCAGGCTGCTCCTGCAAAAACAGGTCTAAGGGAGTGGAAGCAAATCTGAGCCCGGAGCAAAGGGGCTTCTTATCGTCCCTAACGTGATAAGCCCTGCAGTCACCAAGCAAGATGAAACCGTTCCTTGAAGAACATCACTGGCAAGGGTGACCTTAACCAGGGAGAAGCCAGGATGCTCTTCCTGGCGGGGTTCTTCAAATGGCCCATATTCCAGCATCAAGGCTGCTTACATGCTTGCCGGCCTGAGATGCATTTGCCTACCCATGTGAGAGGATGTCCAGCATGAAAGGTCCAGCCTGGGTTCAAATCCTGACCGTTGCTGTGTGACCCTAGACTACTCACTTGACCGCTGTGTGCCTTGATTTCCTTCTGTGTAAAACAGGAATAATAGCTTTGGCCTGATAGGGTATTATGTGGGCCAAAGGAAATAAGCATTTAACAGGCTCAGCATACTGTCTGGCACATGTTGGATCCTCCAAAATAAAACCACCTTGGGAGCACACAAGCTTCAGACCAGGGTCTTCCTGCTGCTCCCTAAAGCAGCACGGGGTCACCTTCCTCCATCAAGGCCACAGAGTACGTGTCTTAGCTCCTCTCAGAAGGACTGCCCTCCCTGAGCTCAGGGGGCTCAAGGTCCAAGGCAGGAGCCCTTCACGAGGAAGAGGACAGCGCCTACCTCAGGCGCTAACGTAACCGCGCCACCTGAGAGCCAGTCGGTCAGACTGGAGGTTGAAATTCAGAAGCACAGCCTTCAAAAGCTGCCCGGCCATCTGTGGGAAAGGGATTGCACAAAGCAGACTCTTTAAGGTCTGAGCCACCAGGGAAGTGTTGGATTTCCCTGGTTGCTCAGATGGTACAGAATCTGCCTGCAATGCAGGAGACCTGGGTTCGATCCCTGCATCGGGAAGGTCCCCTGGAGAAGGGAATGGCTATCCACTAAAGTATCCTTGCCTGGAGAATTCCATGGACAGAGGAGTCTGGTGG